TGAGTGGTCCTCCTTTATAGTAATTATTATAAATTATAAAAAAAGTAAGTATTTTTAAACTTTAAAGCTTACTTTATAAAAAGATTTATAAAATAAAACCTCTTTAAATAATTAAAACTATTATAACTTTTATAATTAATATTTAATTAAGCTTAAAGCTATTTATTAAAATATTATTATTATTATTATCCTTAACTTATAAAACCTTATAATTAATATTAAAAATATAACCTTAGCTATACTTAAATAAGCTAAATTAAATTAAATAAATAAAATATATATAGCTAATTAATAATAATATTACTTTATAAAAGGTATTACTTAAGTTAATTATAAAGCCTTATATAAAGGAAAAATAAAGAAATTTATATTAATAATTAAGACTATTAAATAGTAAAAGTATAATAAATTTATAAAAAAATAACTAATCCTTATAATATTTATAACTCTTAAAGTTAAATAATAACTTAATAAAAGTATAAAGGTTTTTAAAAATTAAAATAATATTAAAAAAAAGTATAATTATAAAATTAAATAGTTTTTTATAATAAAAAAATAATATAATAGTTTAATTAAAAAATAAACTTAAAAACTAGTTATATTATTAAAAAATGCTATAATCTTTTATAATAAATAAGTATATAATTTAAAGCATTTTACTAATAGTAATCTTATAATAAAGGCATACTTAATTATTTAAGGAGATTAGCTTTAAAAAATAGACTATTTAATAAAAGAACTTTATATTATAATAGCTTATTTTATATTAATTAAAGTGTTTTATTTAATTATAGTAATTAATAATTTTAAATAATAGTAATTTAATACTATTATTATATTTTTTAATATTAATATTAAAAAAAAAGTTTATATATATTAATTATAAGGCTTTAATAATAAATTTAAAAAAGTTTATTATTTAAAAAAAGCTTTTTATAATAATTTAAAAGCTTTTTTATAATAGTTTAAAAAAGCTATATAGCTACTAGTTTATAGCCTAAGAAATGCAGGCTAGGGAGGTAATAATTAATAAGGAATAATAAGGCTAACTAAGCTAGAAATAGTAATAGTAATATATAAGAAGGGAGACGCTTCCTAACCTAGGTAGTAAAATTAAGTAAGTTAGTCCCTAAGACATAAGCCCCTAAAGTGCTTAACTAAGCTAGAACAGCTTAGTCTCTGCATAATTAAATAATATCTTAACTTATTTATATATAGCAGTCTTAATAGTTTACTAAGAAATAAATTCCCTATAAGACAGTTTAGCTAAGGAGAGGTAGTGTTTAGAGGTATATAATTTAACTATTAATAAACTAGCTATAATTAGATTTAAACTTTTAAAATTTAAACTTTATATTTTTAAATATAAAAATAATATTATTTTAATTTTATATATAAATAATATAATAATTATAGCCTTAAAGATATTAACTATTTATAATATAGTAATATAGCTAAAAAGTTTATTTAAAATTAAAAAATTAAAAAATATAGCTATTTTTTTAAAATTAAAAGTTTATAAAAATTAAAAAAATAAAATAATTATACTTAGCTAAGGTATTTATATTAAGAAAGTTATTATTAAATTTATTTTAATATTTTAAAATCTAGCTAAAACTTTATAACTACTTAAAAAAATAATTTCTTATAATTAAAAATAATAAAAAGTTATTATATTAGTAAAAGAATAGCTAAAATAAATTAAAAGCTTAAACTTTATTTTAATAAGTATAAAGCTTAATATTATATATATTATTTAAAAGCTTTATAAAGCTAATACTAATTTAATAAAATATTATAAGGAAATCTTAAAGCACTTTTTTTAATATTTTTAAGGTATAATTAACTTAAAAATTTAACTTAATAATAAATATAATATTAAAAACCTTAATTTAAGGGTTTATATTAATATAGCTTTTATAAATAACCTAGTTAAAAAATTTAATATAGCAGGTTATATTATATTAATTAATAATAAACTAGTTTATTAAAAAAGTAAAAAATAAATTATTATTATTATAAGTTTAATTAAAGCTAAATTTATAAACCTTACTTTAGTTAAAATATTAGCTATTTAAATTAAGAAAATCTTTAATAATTTAGACATTAAAAACTAAAAGCTTATAATTTTATATATTAATTTTTAAAATACTAAAATTATTATTCTTAATTAATATAATATAATATAAATAAAGTATATAAATATTTATTTTAAATATATTATTAATAAAATAAAATAAAAAGACTTTAAAATATAGTAAATTAGTATATAAAAAATAACTATAAATAGTTTAATAAAGCTACTTATAAAAATTAAGTATATTAAATTTATAAAGCTTTTAAAAATAGTTAATACTATTTAATAATAAAAATCTATTTTAAAATAATATATTTATTTAAATATTAAAGGTAATTATAATAAGTATACTAACTTTATTATCTTAGCTATACTTTATTTTTTATTTCCTTTTTTTTTATATTAATAAGGATTTAAACTATAATAAATTTATATTTAAAATAGTTTAAGAGTATTAGATTTATAATAAAAAGAAGTATAAGCCTTTTTATTTTTTTTAAATTATAAATATTTTAAAATAAGCAGCTACTTTAACTAGGTTTATTTTAAAAAGACTTTTATTATAAAAGGCATTTTATTTACTAATTAAAATAAATTTATCTTTTATACTTTTAATACTTTAAAATATAAGTATTTTTTTAAACCCTAATTATTATATTAATAGTATTAATATATTTTTTATAAAAAGGGTATTTTATTTAATAAATAAAAAGCTACTTAAAAGCTAAATAGTAAGCTTTTATTATTATATTAGCTATAGTTATAATTTTATTTTTATTTTAGTAATTTATTTTTATTTTAATTAAAGAAGCCTTATACTTTAGTAAATAAAAGTAACTTTTAAACTTTAATAACTAAAAAACCTTAATTTAATTTACTTACTTTTATTAATACTATTTCTTCTTAATTAAAAGAATAGTAGCTATTTTTTAAATTTATTTTATATTTTTTATATATAGTAAAATAGCCTATATTTTATAATTAGTAAGATGCTATTAATTTCCTAAGATATTATAATAGTATTATAGTATATTAGTTTTAAGGGGGATATATTAAGTAGTCCTTACTTTAATAACTTAAGACTACCTTATAATACTATAGGCCTTAGGCCTGTGATATATTTATAGCTGTTTATTTATTTTCCTTTCTCTTTCTCTTTAGCTAGTCTTCTATAGAAGAAGAGAGTTTACAGTTGCCCTTTGTCAGTATCTATGTAAGTATATGTATGAGCTGTGGTAGAGGTAGATGGGCTGACTGGGATTTTCAAGCTGGTTTTACCTGGCTAGCCGCTGCCTGTATAAAACGGCTCTGACTCGTGATAGTCCCTTGCATACATGTACGGGTACCTTATGATTCACTGGACCGATACAAGGCTGCGTGCTGGGTTGGGCTTCGTGACTGGGCCACATGGTAGGCCGCCCGGTCAGAGCAGCCCAAGCTGAAGCAGTGCATGGCAGAGAGCCAAGGCCAAGTCAAGGTGCCCAAAACTTTGAAATTTCCCATCTCTGTTTCGTAATCCTCAAACAGCTGCATCTCATGAGTTTTGAGCACGACAACCCGGCAGTAAACTGCTCTTACTGAGTTGCGATACCGTCGTTGTCGCCTAGACGGCTATACTTCGAAAGCAAGAAAGAAGGAGAAAACATGTCATTTCTCGCCCAGGTTCGAGATGGCCTGGCAAGCGCCCAGCTCGAGATCTCCAAGCATGTCAACGCGGCTGGCATTCATCGGGTCCTCGAGGATGCCCAGAGCAGTGTCCAAGCTGGCGCTGCAGGAATCAGCCACCTTCGAGTGAGGACATCCATACATGCTTCGTTGCACGCGTGAGAGAACTGACAGAAGGCTCCCTATGCGCAGTACCTTGCGACTGGATACGAAGCCCAAGCCACGATGAAGCAGCTGGGCAGCACCGACAACGCAACCGCAGGTCAAGACGACTGCTCGCACGTCGAAATCACAATGACTGGCGAAAAACAAGACACTTGCAAGGCGAGCACTGCCTTTCCGGGCGCTGATACCATGGGAGAGAAATGCACATGCAGATGCTCCTGCGACGATGGTCCTCAGAGCGGCAAGACGGACGAAGAAGGTTCCCACAACGGCTTCATGGGTGGCGCCCGACGAGTGAGTGTCCGCGTTACTCCTCAAATTGAGATCATGCCTGACTGTAGTAATCAAAAGCTCAAAGACGCTGCTTGGGAGAATCCCCTGATGGCTGCAGGAATCGCAGCCGCCGGAGCTGGCGCCTTGGTTGTCGCTGCTCCCGTGGTTGTGACCGCGCCTCTCATGGGCGTCGCTGGAGCGGCAGGCTTCACTCCCGCCGGAATAGCCGCATGTAAGTCTCTCTCTCTCTCCTACTATGGACTTCGATTCCCTGGCTCACTATATATTTTCCTAGCCTCTGTGGCGGCAGGCATCCAGGCGGGCATCGGAAGCGTTGGCGCCGGCGGCCTCTTCGCGACGGTGCAGAGCGCCGCCATGGGGGGATACGGAGCTGCGGTGCTGACGGGCGCTACTCAGGCTGCCGGAGTCACCATGGCCGGAGCAGGAGGGCTGGCGACGTTTATGGGCAGCAAGCAGAAGTGTGAGCAGTCCAGTGAAGAAGGGCCATCGGGCGAGAAGCCGTCGGAGGAGAAGTAGAGCCAAGCTTGTTGATGAACATCTCCATCTGACGATCGACTGCAAATGACTCGAGAATCAGCGGCCCGAGCCGGCAAAGTGGACAAGGGGGGGAACATTAGTAGCTCTGAGGAAGACACGGAGCCAAGATGGAGTCTGACGGTCCGGCTTGTTCTGGAGAAGAGAAAGCCTCGTGTTCCATTTACATGGTCTGATATCCTTCTTAGTTGCCTTCAATTGACTTGATTGCCTCTCCACAAAGCCATTCCCATGGATTCAATTCAGCAATACAAGCCTGATGATGAAGCCAACACACACTCTTAATGCCGACCCGTAATCTTCAGCGGCCGGATCCCCTGCTCCAACGCTTCTTCAACAAAGGCGCTCCTTTGGGAAAAGATGCCGGTATTGCGACCCTGACCAACACACAACTAACCGTGTATGTAAATGATACTGACTAATTGGAGAACTGACGCTGCAGGTCCTTCGGCGAAATCCTCTTCATTTTGCCGGATCCTGACAGAGTTACAGTGAACGAACGAGCGAGCGAGCGAGCAGTTTCGCCGCATCACCGCCTGCGTCATCCCATCTCTGCTTCTCCAGCTATCTCTTAGACAAATGTCTAACGCAGAAAAGGCAATCAACACAATGGACAAGGCCGGCGAAGCCGCAGCCAAGGAGCCTCGCGCAGGCGCACCGCTCGACGACGCAGAGCCGGCAGCCATAGAGGCGGACGACGAGGCTGCAGCCAGCAGCAGCAGCAGCAGCAGCGACGACGCCGGCTACGAGTCGGACCTGGCGTCGCGGACGTCGACGTCGGTGTGCAGCAGCGTGCGCGACTACGAGTTTGAGAACAACCGGCGGTACCACCGCTTCCAGGAGGGCCGGTACCAGTTCCCCAACGACGACCTCGAGCAGGAGAGGGAGGACATGAAGCATGCCATGGTGGTGCACCTGTGCGATGGCAAGCTGCACTATGCGCCGCTGGACAGTCCGCAGCGGATATTGGATGTTGGGACGGGGACGGGCATCTGGGCCATTGATAGTGAGTCGACTTGACTATGAAGAAGTCATTGAGCTGGATATCAAAATGATATATATGGCGCGGAAGGGGAAGCTCATGGGGAATGTGTGCATCAACTGATGTTTGGGTATATCAAACAGTGGGAGACGAGTATCCTGGCGCAGAAATCACGGGCATCGACCTCAGTCCGATCCAGCCTCAGTGGGTGCCGCCCAACGTCCGCTTCATGGTGGACGATGCCGAGGCGGACTGGGTGATTCCGCCCAACTCGCTCGACTACATTCATATCCGACACATGACCTCTTCGATCCGCGACTGGCCGGCGCTGTTGTCGCGGGCTTACAAGTGAGTCCCCCCCTTCGCCCCCCCCAGTACAGGCACAACAGATACCGCCTCAAGAGAAAAGGTGCTTTTGTTAAAATCCAAGTTTTCCCCCTCTCCCCCCTTTTAGAGCCCTAAAGCCAGGCGGCTGGATCGAGCTCCAAGACCTCCAGTTCCAAGTAAAGTGCGACGACGGCACCGTCCGCGCAGACAACAAGCTCCAGGACTTCTTCCAGACCATGGTCCGCGCCCTCGAAAAGTTCAGCGTCGACCTCCTCGCCATGCGGCACAACAGGCAAAAGGTCCTCGACGCCGGCTTCGTCGACGTCGCCGAGACGCCCTTCAAGGTGCCCATCGGCGTGTGGCCGCGGGACCCCAAGATGAAGATGATTGGGCTGTACAACCGGAGCATGATGCTCGACGCGCTGTACGGCGTCGCCGTGAGGCCCTTTACGAGGGGTCTTGGGTGGACGCTCGAGGAGGTGGAGGTGTATCTGGTGGATGTGAGGAGGGATCTGATGGATGCGAGTCAGCATGGCTACACGCCGTTTCATGTGGTCACAGGGCGGAAGCCGGGATGAAGAGAGATGGAAGATGTAGGGAGGGAGGGGGGTTATTCAAGCATAAGGTACGATGTTTACGATGGCATATTGCAGCATGCTGAAGCAGCTTCAAAGACTGCGATGACATCAATTGCAACCCAAAAGTACATTCGATGCAAGAGGACCAGTCGACTTGTTGATACGAAGCCAAGCACACCATGACCCCCATGGTTATGCATCCACGTCGATCAGCTTACTTAGAATCATTCCGCCTCGTCCGCTTCTCAACATATCAACAAGTCACAAGCTTTCGTCAAAGGCTAATGATACCCGGTGAGGGTGCTGTGTATTTCATAATATCTGCCGTATAGGTCGTCTGTTCTTCATACCTCATGCTCGTTAAACATTCCATGCATCTCCATCTCCATCACCATCGTGTAATTCTCCTCCCATCTTCAAAACACTATAAAAAGGAAAGTGAAAGCAAAGCCCAAGCCCAATGCAAATCCCGCCGACAATGCAATGCAACAGCCAACTAAAGAGTATGGCTTCTTAACAACAGAAAAGAAAAGAAAGCGTAGAAGCCGCACAGACTTAGAGACCGCAGTTGCTGACCGCAACCTGGGTCGCCGTAGCATCCACGCGTCCCAGCTGCACAGCCTGGCCACCCGTCAGGGCGTTCATGGCGTCGAGCGCAATGTTGAAGCCGGCGGCGGCGTGGTCAATGGCCAGGACGTAGATGGTGTGGCCGCTGTACGAGAGCTTCCAGCAGGTGCCGCAGGCGGCCGAGTTCCAGCCCCCGACGGCGGCGGCGCCTCCGATGTAGGGGAACTTGGGGATCTGGCCCTGCGTCTGCCAGTGGTAGCGGGTGATGAGGCCGTTGGGGCCGTCGGAGCAGGAGACGGCTGTCAGGGAACGAGAGCCGTCGTCGTAGCCGGTGTCGTAGGAGACTGTGGAGAGAGAGATGGCATGTTAGTGATGAGATGGAATGAGGAGATGGTGGAGAGTCTTCGTACCCGTATCAGCCGTGGCGGCGGCAGCGAAGAAGGCGAGCTTGAAGAGGTTGGACAGTTGCATCTTGGCGGTTATGGAATGGAGATGTTGTGATCAACGTAAGTCGACTTTGGAAGTGAATGTTGGAAAACAAGCGATGAGGCTGAAGACCGAAGAGTGAGCTGATGTTTGGGAGTGTAGTAGAGTTGAGAACGGCAGTGGATGATGTAGAACAAAGGCTTTCTTCTCGAGACGAGGTCAAGCCCTCTCTTTATACTTACACGAAGCAACCACAACCGCATCCATGACCGCCTCCAGCTTTCCCTCATCGAGCCTCGTGAGATTCTTCGCCTTCTAACCATCCCCCCTTCCCGATGCATCGTAGCATCCAGCCATCGCCAAGTCTCTCCTTCTCGTATGGATACCTGCATGCTTGTACAATACCTACCTACCTACCTACCAGGTACATACATGGACAGCCCATAACTGCAGTACCAGAAAGAGGGCTTAGACCGGGAAGCAAAAAGAAAGGATGGAACCTGGAGACTAAACAACAAAGCAACAGGGGAGCAGATGCAACTGACTCGTCATTGCAGACAAGGCTCAGGCGAGCTTCCAGGCTCTGCTGCTCGTGTCCGATCATCTGATGGCGATGGCTGGTCGGTCCACAGCTAGCGACCTGGGACAGCTCATCCCTGCTCTCTCTCTCTCTTTCTCTCCACTTGGTCCAGCAAACCACTGAGATGGGCACCAGCATTGACATTGTTTTTAAGCATCGAGGTAGGATAGACACGATGTGCAAAGTACTCTTCAAACAACTCATACAGCTTTCATGGTCACGATAACTGGCGATTGTGATTCTTCATTCAGCTTCATGTAACAGCAGAACAAACGACCTAATACCGACTTGAAGTAAGACAAACAACCTCCCGCCGCTTCGGTACGTGGTACAGGTACCCCGGCACGGGCCACTTCCTCGCGGTGACACAAGTCACCTGTACGAGCCCCGGGCCTCTCGAGTCCGGTTTTGGTGTTGCCATTCTCACTCTTCGGAGCATGCGGAGGGATGATGGAACGTCGACCCTTTTGTGCAAAGCCTGATGATCGACGTACGAGTGCCGGCAAGTCTACTTTATTAATAGTATCTTGTTACAAGCTGTCCAATCATGATGGATCAATGAGCTAGAACATCCGTCAATGGAGCTCGTATTTGCTGCTTGTTGCATGAACAATGGCTGCACACAGCGTCCCATCCTTTCGCTGTTAGCCTACCTTACTTCTTCTACTCATCAGCATACGAAGCATAAACAACCTTCTTTAACTCAATTGTCATTCGAACAAACAAAATCAACCATACAGTTTACCTACTATCCAAGCCCCTCCTCAAAATCTTCATGAACTCACCAACACCAGCAACAGAAACTGGTAGAACCAAGAGAAAAGACCCCCCAACTTCTCCTCCCGGACCATCGGGTCATTTTCCCCCTCGGCTCACACACACACACCCAGCCCAGTTCAACCTGGCTTTTCCCCAGACGCGGGACCCTGGACGCACTCCCCCCAATCGCCACAAAGCCGCGATTTAGTGCCAGCAATTGCCGATCCGGCTCGTATTGAACATGTTGATGACGCAGTGCTGCCGGCCAGGTGATGCGGCGTGTACGAGAAATGGGCGGGCTGGCGGTACATACGGGCTGCATTCGGGCTGACTTGCTGCGTGTATGTATGTACATTGTATGTATGTCCTGTAGGTGAAGCCCAACGAGGGGCTCAGTTTGAAGGAGGAGGAAGAGAATACGCTTTTGATTTTGTTCCTCTATCCGGACTCTGCCTCTTCGAGTTGTAATCTTCAGATCCTGTGAGAAAGCTGCGTAACTGCGACTCGATGGATCATAAGCGGCATGTAGGGATGCCAGATCTCACAACTTGGGGCAATGCATATGTGACGGGAATTTTTATCTATTATTCTGGGTATGTATCCTTGGGGCTCTATGTTTGCTTTGCAATCACACTGCCTTCTCATGGTTTGCTGCGGTTGATTGCTCCAGAGCCGTGATTGCCTAGAGTTGCTTGTATGTACCAAGAAGACTCTTTCAACAGCCCCTGGAAAGGGATTCGAGCAGAAAAGACTCTAGTACGCTGTCGCAGCCATTGTAAAAATGTCTCTTCTACTGCTCCATCCCAGAGTCCCCATGCTTGGAAGCGCATGTGCGCAGCCGAGACATTCTGGCTTACACGCCCCGTGATGGCGTATACCAGCATATACGAGCAAAACAATCCTCCTCCTCCCCCAAAAACGACAAACGGACAACGCAAACACCAGGCAATTCCACTCGAGTGCCCAACAGGAATCAATCATCATCCACCTTCCAGCAGCCATCGAGGTCAGCCGCAGCGGAGTATGTAGTAACGTCAGAAATGTCCCGACAACGGCCGCTGCGGCCGACGATTTCGACCCGAGAAGTCTACACACATACTACCTGGACCCCCGGCACAAAAAGTACGAGTCTTTTTTTTTTTTTTTTTTTTTTTTTTTTTTTTTTTGCCGGCTTATGGCGATCGTTTTCTCTAGCGGCTGACGGGATGTTGTAAGTAATTCAGATCGTGCCAAGAACCTTTGTAGCCTGATTTGCAATTGTTGAAGCTTGATAATATGTAACAAGAGCCAAGAGGGGGAAAGACGCAATGTATGCACAGGTAAGGCAGTGGGCATGACTTTGCATAACAGGCATTCGGGTCGGAAGCACCTTTGCCTGCTGCATCGGGATGTAATAATTCCCCGGGGAATTTGTATCTCTTCCAAGACAATTGTCGTACGAAGAATCGACCTCCCCCTGTCTTTCCTCTTGCCGTTATAAGGCGGCCGCACGCACAACAGCCTCCCTCGTATGTCCTACCAATATTTCCCAACAACGAAGACATGATTAGGTAGGGCAGACATTGTCATCTAATACACATGCCAAGTCTTTCACGGGACGTCGCCTTGTTGGACGCCGGCTTCCGTGTCTTTCCAGGGGATGTCCCAACACCGCCATGATGCGGTGTTTAGGCTCCACGGACCGGTGATGCACGATGTAGGAGCCGGCATTGACCTCGATGGGGCCCGAGAATACGAAGTGCATCGCCGACGCGTTGGATGCATCACCGATTCGATGGTGTACCATGGAATCATCTGGAGAGTGCAGAGAACCTCGTATACAACTCATTCCATGGTCACACTGCCATCATAGACGTCTGGGAATGTCTATCGTCGCCCATATACAGAGCCCAAAGAGGTTCAGCTTGAGAGGTTGCTATCATTGGCCAATTCCATGGAGCAGCAGTGCACCGTCTTGCCCATCATATGCTGTCCATCTCTATTCCAAAGACTTCCAGTCTTCTCCAACTCTAGGGTTGTCGCCGTCTTTCAAACCTGAGGCTCCTCGCCATCTCCCCAAAACGGAAACTCTTGTCCCTCCAACTTCTTCATCCCAGGCAACACAAGCACAACAAACCTGTTCCCGTTCATCGTAACCCAGCCGCCATCGACCAAGCCCAGCCTCCGCGCCATCTTCACCGACGGGACGTTTGCTTCGTTGGTCACGATGCAAATCTCCTTGATGCCAAACTCGTCCGTAAAGTACTTGAGGACCCTCCCCACCGCCTCGGTGCCGTAGCGCTGGTTGCGATACTCTGGTCTCAGCATGTAGCCCAGATCCAGCGGGACAGCGGGCGTGCGGCGACAGAGGTTCAGCACGCCGATGCGCGGTCCGTTGGGGTCACTGCCTATACGCACAATGTAGATGCCGGCGTCTTTCGAGAGGCGGCCGTGGGTGTCGGATGGCTTGGGCATGATGGACCAGGTGAGGCGGCGGATGTCTTGGGCGGTCCAGTCGCCGCCTGAGGGGGCCGAGCCGGGAGGCATTTCCTGGTTGAACATCATGACGACAAAGTCCATGTCGTCCTTGTTCTCCATGTCAAAGAGGGTCAGGGTAAGACGCTCGGAATGGAGGACGGGGGAGAAGAGAGCTTCGGGCTGTAGAGAAGCCATGATGGGCGGCAGGAGAGTGCGATTGATTCTGTCGGTCTTCTCTTAGGGGAGCAGCGACAGAATCTGTGCATTCGTTGTGCAAGATTCTCTCCAAGAGTCTTAAGTAGATGAGCATCTTCAGCGTAAGACATCTCAACGGCCAGGTATTCTATTCTAGGGCTGATTATGCGGATAGCATCAATAAGCACTACGCCATATATGAGCTTCCAGGACCACATACTGAAGTGTAGTGTGACTAATGATCAGAGTTATAACAGCAATGGCCAAGAAGACACGACAAAAGATCCAACCCTATATATCTGTAGTGCTGATCTGACGCATGTTCGAGTCCAGCTTGTAGGTTGAAATGGCTGAATTGAAGCTTGCGTCTATATAAACAGATGCATGTAAAGCTGCCTGCTGACAGGTTGGCAAGATGACCCCTTCAATAGCTGAGAGATTATCATTTCATGGTCTACAATCAAGCTTCGATTTTTATCCTTCAATCCCTGATTTTCTATCACATCGAGTATTTCTAGCCCCCCGCCTTCTCATAGATCTCCTGTTCAAGGTTCCATTTACTACCTAGTAGCTGTCATGAAGCTGAAGACGATCGACTGGCGATAATAATAGAGGGGTCGCCCTCTGATAAGCCCCGCTATCGACGCATCAACGCTCGCAGCTCCGGTTATCGGTCCCAAATCGTGGCGCCATGACCAGTTTCGTTTTCTTTCACACATTCAACAAGCCAGCCAGGGCCTCAGGTCGACCAGCCAATTCAACATCCATTGGCGAGCAACAACTCTCGAAACCGCCGTCTCTGTCGTCCATCGTCCATCGTCCATCGTCTCTTTTTCCCCCCAACGATTATTGAGAAGCAGTCGAGACGAAAGCACCTCTCCTCTACACCACCCGCCACCAACACGATGGAGTCCTTCGTGATCAAGACGCCCTGCTCCAGCGCCAACATTGGCCCCGGCTTCGATGTCATCGGCCTCGCGCTCTCCGTCTACCTCGAGCTGCACGTCACCATCGACCGCTCCAAGCCCACGTCCGAGCACCCGCTCAACTGCAGGGTCACGTACGAGGGCCAGGGCGAGGACTCGGGCGACATCAGCCTCGACCCGCAGACCAACCTCATCACCCGCGTCGCGCTCTACGTCCTGCGATGCCACGACCAGCGCAGCTTCCCCGTCGAGACGCACGTCCACATCAAGAACCCGATTCCGCTGGGCAGGGGGCTGGGAAGCTCTGGAGCGGCCGTCGTGGCGGGAGTGATGCTGGGCAAGGAGGTTGGCGGGCTGCACCACTTGGACCAGGACCGGCTGTTTGACTATTGCTTGATGATTGGTGTGTGTCCCCTTATTATAAGCTGCTGCAGGCTCCCGATATCTTTCAAATGTTTATGCGCGCTCACAATACGTGTTCTCCCACAGAGAGACACCCTGACAATGTCGGCGCCGCCCTCTTTGGCGGCTTCGTCGGCACCTATCTGATGCCATTGAAGCCCGAGGATGCCTCCCGAGTCGAGATCCCCCTCAGCGAAGTCCTACCCGCGCCCGCAGGAGGCGTCGACACCGGCAAGCGGCCCCCGGAGCCTCCCCACGGCATCGGCCACCACATCAAGTTTCCCTGGAACAAGGAGATCAAGGCCGTTGCCATCATCCCCGACTTTGTTGTTCCCACGCACGACGCCCGAGCTGTCCTGCCGCCACACTACCAGCGCACCGACGTGGTAGGTATTCCGGCGTACAACATCACTTGTTGTCAAATGCTGACTCTGTCCCTTAGGTTTTCAACCTGCAGCGGATAGCCCTGCTGCCCGTTGCTCTCGGCCAATCGCCTCCCGACCCGGAGCTCATCAACCTGGCCATGCAGGACAGAGTCCACCAGCCCTACCGCCAGACTCTGATCCCCGGCCTGTGCCAGATTGTCGAGTCCATGTCACCAAAGACTCACCCGGGATTCCTCGGCGTCTGCCTCTCGGGCGCCGGCCCCACCATCCTGGCCCTCGCCGTGTCCAACTTTGAGGACATTGCCAATGAGATTATTGCGACTCTGAGGAAACACAACGAAAACAAGGATCTGGCCTGCCAGTGGCTGGTCCTGGAACCGGCGGAGGGAACCCACGTGGTTCGATCTGGCTGAAGACGGGAGATGATGACTGTCTGTGAAGGTGTTTCGGTAACTCTCCTCCTCATTGGATTTGGTATGGGCGTTTGGGAAGAAGGTCGATAAAGTAAAATTGATAGATAGAATGCAGAGGCACGCGAGGCTTTGTCAATGGATTCTGCTGGACGGCCCCGCGACTTGCGTCGAGTTGTGAGTTCAATATTACCGTAAATTCATATGGTACCTACAGGTAGTATTTGTAGTGTACGTCCTCGTTGTCTATTGCATGGATTGCCTGTCTACAGAAAGCATCCTCTATATGTAACAAACTGCTCAGGCACATTATAGCCAAACCATAGGTAGGTGTAGCCAGCCAGAATGGAGTGTCGTCTGTCCAAAGCCAAGACCAAGGTACCTTATATATATACAATCAATTTCATCAAAGTCTGCGACATGTGCAACCCTTCCTCCTCCTTTCTTCTCATCCTTCTTTTATCTCAGTTGCAAAATTTTTTCCTCTCAAAAGTCATCATCAATGCCAGCCGCCCTCTCAGCAGCCTTCCTCTGGCGATTCGCATCATACCACCACTTATGCGACTCGTCGCTCCCCGTCCACTCGCCCTTCTCCCCAATCTCGTCCCACGGCTTCGGGCTCAAGATGTAATGCACGTTCTTGACCTCGTCGTCCCTCCAGATCTGATGATGCACGCCCTTCCAGCGCATCGTCTTGAGCGCGTTGTACGTGTACGGCAGCGGGACCCAGCGGCCGCGGTACAGGTCCGACAGCAGCGACTGGTCCGCAAAGTCCATGTTGGCCGCGTCGGCCTCCATGTGCGCGACAATCTGCTCGTAGAGCGCCTCGGACGGGTTGACGACCTGCAGGCCGCCGTTCATGAAGCCGAGCGGGCCGGCGGACGGATCCGGGGCGACGGTCTGCGCCGTCTCGGGGTCGTCGTGCTGCGACGTGAAGGCGCAGTTGGCGGGGATCCAGTCGCGCGGGTAGTGAGGCTTGCGCAGGGGGTTGCACACGCAGGCGTGGCCCGCGGCGAAGACGCGCCTGCTGGACGAGGAGGAGGCATCACCAGAGGCGGAGGCGGAGGCGGCGAGACTCGGGGGGTCGAGGTCGAGGTCCATGAGCTCGTCCATGTTGCGCCGGACGAGCATGTCGGAGTCGAGCTGGACGATGCGCGCGTACTGCGTCAGGCTAAAGGGCACGAGCTTGCTCCAGCAGTCGTAGAAGCGCGGGTCGTTGGAGTAGTCCTTGCCGGCGGATGGCACGAGGTAGTCGATGCGCTGGGAGGCGATGCCGCGGGCGGCGAGCGCGGCGTGGCCGGACGGCGGGAAGGCGTCGGTGTAGAGGGCGACGAGCGGGTATTTGGAGCCGACGGCGCGGAGGGAGTGGTTGAGGGTGAGGAGGCCGGGGAGGTAGTCGAGGTTGGTGATGAGCGTTGTCCAGACTGGAGGGGAGGGGGTTTGGGAGTTAGACGTGACGATGTTTGATGGTGTTGAGGAGAGGAGAGGAGAGAGACTTGCCTTTGTCTGAGTCGACGGCTCGTTTCTTGTCGGACATGGCAGGATGGTGGATTTGGATATTTGGTGATATGAGTAGAAGAAGATGAAGAGGAATGTCAGATTGACGCTGAATGAGCAAAACGAGCAAAATCAAAGAAGCGTGGTGGGAGCAATTGCAGTTGGCGCAAAGCAACGAGGTTGGTGATGGTTTATCCTGCAAGCCATAGCAGGTATATTATCAATACTACAGGTGGGGTAGCCTTATTTGGAGAGGGAGAGAAACTTGTCAATGATGCCATTGACTGAGGCGCCCTAAAAAGAGAGAAACGAGCAAGAGACCCCCGAGACTAAAGGGAGACTAAGACTAGGCTGAGATGATCTCAAGGGAACTAAGGTAGCATCTCAGACAGGGTGTGTGAGTGGAGATGCGGGCTTGTGGGCGTTTGCATGTGGTTGAGATCTGAGGCTCAAGAGGAGATGAAGGTGAGGGTGACAAAGGGCATATCATGTCACTCATGGACGGTTGAGCACGAGCACTATATTTTCAAAGAAGGACTGCTTTTTAAAAAAAGAAAAGGAAAAGAGAGAGAAGTTAAAGAACCAGACAAGGTAGTAGAAGAGAAAGTGGTAGTAGAAGCGCCACTTATACCAAAAGTGGCCCAGATAAGCTCAACGAGTGGTTGTAATCCCCCCCCCCCCCCGGCGTCTCCCCTTTCAAGCCCTACGACCACAAGATTGGCCCTCCTTATGCTTGCTTGCTTGCTTTCTTCTTCAAGACTCATAGCCCAGCCCCGAATCGCTCCACGAGCTCGAGCTCTCAGACATAATCTCCGAACCCTCTTCGGCCTCGTCCCCCTCCTCTTCCTCTTCAGCCTCCTCCTCCTCCTCCTCCTCCTCAGGCGGGCTATCACACGCTATAGGGTACGGGGGAACGTATTCCCAGCGTCTATCCATGTCCATGGGATGAAACTCGAGATTGTTATCGGCGGCATGGGACTGGCCATTGGCCTGAGTCTGGAGGGGATGGTGGTGATGGTGATGGTGGTGGTGGTGATGATGATGGGGATTGGCCCTGTTGGCGTCGTTGACACCGTTCCTATTCCGAGCATCACCAACGCCCCAGATGTTCCAGGTTTCGGTGAGAGAAGTCTGTTGCGAGGCTGGCATCGGGCGGGTGCTCGACACGGGGAAGAAGCTTGGTGCAATGGGGCTGAGGGGCTTGTAGGGGGCGAGCCTGGCCGCGACGGAGATGGGCGTCAGGATGGAAGCGGTGATGGAGGTTGGGGTCCAGGACGGGAGCGAACGCGGGGTGTTGCAGCAGCTTTCGAGACAGCACTGGCCAAGGGGGTGGCTCTCGGGGGTTTGATGTTGAGGTTGAACTTGGGGTTGAGGTGGTTGAGCTTGAGATTGAAGCGGTTGACCTTGAGATTGAAGCGGTTGACCTTGAGATTGAAGCGGTGGAACTCGCCGAGCTCGTCTTGTACGGGCTGGAACGGGGGGTAAATGTGGTGGCTGAAGAAGCATTGCATCTATCGGAGCCGGAGGCAAGTCATCCAGACTGCTCTTGATCGGCGGCAGGTGTGTGTACTGCTCGGGAACAGGCAGTCCTGGCGCCGGCGACTCTCGAGGACTAGGCGTAGACGAGCCATCGAGATACCCGCACGAGTCGGAATCGTTAAACTGCGTACGGCCGGCCTGTCCAACGCCATCAGGCTCCAGACTCTTGGGCCACAAGCGAGCCATCACCTCCCTCGCCGACGCCCTCAGCGTCGGATTCTGCTGCGCCATGCCCTCCAGCTCAGGCATATGCACCCCGGCCTCGACGACGTCGCGAAACGCCAGCACGAGCCCCTTGCGGACGAGGTCATCCTCCGACAGCCTCCCGCAGGAAACAGCCATCGTGACAAAGAGTGACCACACATCCTGCTTGGGCCCCAGCGGATACGACCTGCTGAACGTCTCGGGCGCCTTGTACACGGCGACAGCAGCCGGAGTAGGAGAAGCAGCATGCTGGCAAGGCGGCGGAGGAGCCTCGTACGTGCCCTCTGCGTAGGCGAAATCGACGAGCTGGAAGAAGAAGCGGCCGTAGCGGGTGACTGTCTCGACGAGGACGTTGGTGGGCTTGATGTTGCCGTGGGAGATGCCCTCTCGCTCGAGGAAGTCGATGGCGGAGAGCATCTGGACGGTCAGGGTATGGAAGGCGGATGTTTCGTCGACGAGGTCGTAGTGAATGGGCATGATGGTGGTGATGTTGCCTCTCCCCAGGGGGGTGACGATGAGGGTCATGTGCGGCCTCAGAAGAGCGTACAGGAGAGGCGTGATATGGCGCTTCGCGAATTCAAAAAAACAGTTTCAGTCTCTTTGGTCTATAAGATGGGAAGAAGGGGAGATGGAGATGTTTGAGTTCATGGCTCACATGGGTGCGGCTCCTGAGGGCGATGATTTCCTTCTTTAGGCGCTCTTGCTGCGAGGGAGTAGAGGCGCCAATCTTCTTGACGGCGACCATGTGCTGTAGCTTCTCGTCAAAGGAGCTGTAGACGCTTCCTTGGGTTCCGGATCCGAGGAGCAGGAGGCCGCGGAAGCCGTCTGCCTGGAGGTTGGGTCTGCATTCGTTGGCCATGGTGAAATTGATTTGTTCAAACAGTGAGAAAGAAGAGAGAGGAAAGCATAAGACGGATTCCCAAGATGTTTTCGAATGAGCAGATTGGAATAGGGGCCTGCTTTAATAAATCACAGATACTACTCCCAGAGTCGAGAAACGCAAAATGCAGATATTAGTAGTATATTCCATGATTGGACAGTAATACCGTTCTGCTCCAGAAACCCATCATGGTTGTGAGACATGGCACATCAGTGACAGGGGGCTCTTTGCATCGCTCTTATGCAGTTTGATCATCTTTTGCTGCAGAGCTGGTGGTGAGAAGAAGCAAAGAAGATGCAGTTTGTGTGTGACGGCTGAAAGATGGCTGCGGCTCCATGGGTAAGAGACATGACCGGGGACCAGATCGGGCCACCCAGTCACATTGGCACTCGTGCCAACGAGGCTCGACATTGCTCTTCCCGTGGGGTTATCTGCGGCTCAAATACAGGATTTGATACCATGGCTACTCTTTCTCTCCCTCTCTCTCTCACTCTCTCTCTCTCACTCTATCTCTATCTCTCGCGTTACTCTCATACGTACATAAGCGTCCGCGAGCTTGTATTGGTCATTCACGTTATCACGGACGCGGAAATCTGGCTCGAGACAGCTCCATCGCATGTCACACTTGGCTGCACGGCGGACGCAAGCCGCACAGCAGCATGTTGCAGCTTCCAAAGCCACCGCGGCGTGATTGGGCGTGGCGACTTTCACCGAATGCAAGGGAGGGTTGGGCTGAACTGAAGAAAGAAGAAGAAAGAAGGCCAAGGAGACATTCATCCACCCCGCTTGGAGGAGGCCCGTCCCCGAGAGATCGGTCGATTCAGGTGTTGGGATGTCGTTGATGCCGCAGCCCATACAAGTATGCTTGGGTCGAGTTTGAGTCATCTGATATAGGAGTGATCCTCAAAGTTGGACTATTGAAGCAACGGGCAGCATCATTGATGTTGAGATCAAAGGCATGAGGCATAGGTATTGCGTCGACAAGGAACAGGTGAATGTGTGTCACAAGGACCTGCACTGGCCCTCTCAGCCGCACTGACATGGATATACATGAAGGTCTCGCCCTCTGCTTTCTCTTTCCTATCTCTTCGCGTCTTCCTTCTCTCATCTCACCAGGTCAGTTGTTTGCTACTGCAACAGCAACGGGCCTCCTTCTCCGTGCATAGGTGGATGGGCTGCGCTCAGGCAATACTTGTGGTGGAGTCCTTGTCTCTTGGGCTGAAGAGGGTACTCTGGAGAAGGAGATAAGAGAAAGGATGAGAGCTGAGAGACGAGGGGGGGGAGAAGGTTGCTTGACACGATCCTCACCGGTCTGGATGGCACCCAGGTAGGTCAATGTCTCCGATGAAATGAGGCGCCGTGATTCAGCGTTACGAAGTACTAGTTTATAGGGCAAGATGACGACAGCGCTGCATCTGTTCTCTTCGATCAACTTCTTGCATGTGGCATCGTTATGAGTGTGATTTTGTCAGAGATGTGCCCTCCGGAGTTATGCAGGTAGGCTGTAGTGACGCCTTATGAAATGCATCAATGACCTGGACACCAAAGTGAAGAGCCGGCGTACCTGTAAGTGAAGACTGTCTTCTGTGCCTCATATACCATCTTGCCCCGAATTGTGCTGTGACTATCCCACCAAATGCCAGAGCTGAGCGTATGCTTGTATGATCAGATGCAGCCCTTTCAGATTCCGTAGGGTAATAACGTGAAAAGGTCCCAGGAAACCCACGCTGACACAGATAAAATAGTGTTGCCCAACGCGCGGCCCTGGAGGAAACATCCTAGGTACCTTGACGACATGGTCGAAGCTGCAGCCGGCCATGGCTGTGAAACATGTAGTATGCAAGAATGACGAGATGTCTGCAGTTTTTTTTTTTTTTTTTTTTTTTTTTTCCCTTCTGAAGCTTCTGGAGAAACAAGCGACGGGCGTCGTCTATCGAGGTGGCTTCGAACTCTGAATCGAAGCGCAATTCCGAGGGCTTCCTTGAACTGCTTAGGTACTACCTATGTAGGTAGTTGACTGCTTTCAAGTACAACTTCAGCCACGTCAACGCCTCGATTCCGAGGCTTCCTTATTCAGCGACGAAAGGATAGTGCTGCTCAAACCAGGAGCTACATGGCAATTCGCCCTTGCGAGAAATTGAACGTGAATCAATGCTGTATTCTCAGCAACGCCCAAGACCTGAAACTTGGAAAATGTGAAAGAGATTGAGAGATTGGTGCTCATGGCATTTTGCTCCTACTCGAGAGCATCGATTGTCGCTGTCTTTGGTCTGTCACCGCGTCGACTAGAACTGTGTCTCTCTATGCGCGACTGATGGCCGTAGAGGGAACTGTCACCAACGTTGTCGGCAGGCTGTTGAAAAGACAAGGGAAAACCCAATCGAGTTCGAATGTCTCCCTTTCGAGGACAAGCAGCAGAAGTTAAAAAAAATAAGAAGAGAATATCTGGCTGATAGTAAAGTGTCACACGTGGCCTGTTTATTCCGAGAAACAAATGCAAATATTGTAGGGTCAAGATCGCAGCAAGCCGACGAGACAAGACAAGGCCCAGGGCGCCAACAAGGCACAGATCCTTGTCCCAACGGAGACTCCGTCTCTCGCCTTGCTTTCCCCCCGGTACACCGTACCTTAGGCATAGTAAGCATTTCGTACTCGTATGCGTTCTGGTGGTGGTTGTACAAGTGAGTCTACGATACAAATGCTGTATAGTCTTTTGGCAGGAATTGCTGACTGCGAGATGAGGGCGTTGACGACGAGACAAGACTCAACAGGCGAGGGTTCTGATTCAAGGTGCAAGTTGCAGGTACTATTACCCTAGGTACCTTACTGTAGACGCGTGATCGTGCCTGATCTGGGGGGGTTTTGTTCCCCGCCTGTCGGCTGTCGGTGTACTCGTACGTACCGGTGCTGCACAAGGCGGTGAACAGCCGGCTATTTACAAGACTTCTACAGGTAGTATTCACCCCCTCTCCATGAGCCTCATGAACATAGTAGTACCTTATACTGTTTGCAAGTGCCCTGAGATCGAGGCAGAATGATACAGCTGCTAATAAGCGGACAAGAACTCGAAAGCAGGGCGACAGGCAAAATGGACGGGGACAGCCAAGACATGGGAAGAAGCATCTTTTGCGGAGCCCGTGAGATTCCCAACGCCGGCATCTCGGAGACGTGCCGGTGGCTGGTCCGAGCGTCGGGTTCTACTAGTAGCCTGAGCTGTCTTGTTACTGGTATCATGATTTCGTACTACTACTATTAGTACTAAGGTACTATCTAGATGCCCCCAACGAAGTGGCGTCGTGTCTTGGATTGGAATGGCATCAGGGGCACGACACGAGATATGAGAAGGGAGGGACAGATTTGACAGAGATGGAGATACTACTAGCACTCGAGAAAGCTTGTTCTTATCTGAATCACCAGAGACATACTACTACTACTAGTACTCTGATGATGTTTTATCACCGAAACAAAGTGTCTAGAATCTGCACAGGCCTCCATGACCGATTCACACGGAGCACTCATTCCTTTTTCTAGCCCCCCATCATGCGAGCACTAGGAAGAAACCATCCGTCGTCGTTCGATTGCGACTTCAGACTTGATCCTCCGCTCGTGCATACATACTACCTAGACTATAGCAGCATATCCTGTACATACATCTCCAAAGCAGCCGTCTCAGCACAGTGATAGAAGCACCAGTAACTGCTCAGATCGATCCTCACATCAAAACCCGATTCTGTCCTCCCGTAGCTGAATGAATCACCGCCTACCACCAGACTCAGTACCTATCTGTGATTCAACACACAGTGCCCAAAGCAAAGCTCCAGCTCCAGCTCCCCCCCAGAGCTTCCCGATGCCCCTGGACCACTTATCTGTCCGTCTCCGAGCGAGCTCAACAGCTTTCCGATAATCCTCCCATCCCCTCTTTTTCTCTGGCCCTTCTAGCCCCCATCTCATCTCATCTGTTGTCTGGACACCTCCAAGTTACGCATCTACCTGTTCCTCCCGCTCACATTGCGCGCATCAACCATGTATCCGCCTATCGCTCGATAAAAACCCCCCGGAAACGGCCCACTGACCGAAATGCCCGGCATGACGGGGAGCCGTATTCGTAAAAAAGCCCCCCAGCCAACCAGTGGCCCCCAGTTCCCTCTTTCGACACACTCTCTCTCTCTCTCTTCCCTCCAGCCCCAGTTGGCTCCTATCTTCCCCCTCCCTCCCCCAAAACTTGTTGAGCTGATGCATGCCCTTTCCATGCTTGCATCGATGTTCTTCTTTCCATACTTCCTATCAGTACATAGTACTACATACAGTTCTTGTCTGTGCGCGCTCTCAAGGTCAAGGCTCCGCTTAAAAGCACTGCCGAAGGGTTCTAGTACCGCCCAAGGCAACCGGGGCTACTACTACTACTACCTGTAAATAGATCAGGGAGGGGGGGTTCAAGAAGAAAGAAAGACGAATCGTTGCTTGCGTGTTCGTAAGGCACCTTACCTTGTAAGAGAGAACTTGTATCGTAACAGGTCTAACACCTACCTTAAGCTCGAGTATGTACTGTAGTAGGTACATACAGACTGCAAAGTACTCGGTAGCTGTGATCATGCCATCCCATCTCCTTTCCCTCTCCCCCGACTCGACTGAAATGCTAATGCAAGCCTCAGTGCGTATAAGTAGACAGCCCATAGCCAGCCTAGGTATCTACCTACGTACGCCCTTTCTCCCGCAAAGTTCTCCCGCTCTCGACTCTGCCATATCTTTCTTTTTTGCATTTGTCAAAGCTTGAAAGCTATCTTCGTCTTTCCGTTTCCGTGTCTTCCGCCTCTTCCATCATCCCATACAAGCAGTCTCGTGTGTGTTCCGTCAACCGCATAATACAACCAACCATCCTCACCATCACCATCACACACACACACACACACATCATTATATCCTCAGCAATTCATCAACCAAAACAAAACAAAACAAAACAAAACAAAACAAAACATCAAACGCAATGTCTCGCATCGCTGCCCCCGTCGCCAAACTCTCCCGCGCGCTGAGCTCCTCCGCCGCCGCCTCCCGCGCCGCCAACCCGCTGCTCGTCGAAGCGGCCACTTACAACGCCGGCGCCGCCCTCATGCCCAAGTACGCCGAGCTGCTGCGCAACCGGAGGACCACCACCACCACCATCAACACCGCCGCCATTGAGCACTCCGAGGTATGTAGTTATCACCATCACCAACACCTTTTATTATCAATCAGCATCAAGTAGTAGCTAACAAGTTCATTTCCCCCACAGTCCACCCGCTCCCTCACAACAACCCACCGCCCAACCCCCCAGCCCTCCATCGCCAACCGCCCCAAGCCTCTCATGCAGACCTTTTCCACCTCATCAACCTCATCAGCAACAACACCCTCCGCCCACCTCGACGCCGCCATCCTCCCCAGCTTCGCCTCCCTCTCCTCATCATCTTCATCCTCATCAACATTCGCAGACCTCCCCCGCATGCCCCTCCTCCCAGACAGCTACGCAACCGCGCATCCCGCCCCGGCCGCAGATCCCCCCGTCTCCATCGCCAGCTCCTCCATCGTCGCCGTCAACCCCGACGCCGTCGTCCCCGCCACGCCCCTCTCCTCGCTCAGCGGCGTCCTCGACACCGTCGAGCTCAAGTTCGTCCACGAGCCTGAGCCCGCCAAGGTCGACGAGGCAGGCGGCGAGACCAGCCAGGGCATGATTCGCGATCTGTGGAAGGGCATGGTGGAGGATGTCCTGGGCGCGGGGCAGGCTCTGCGCAAGTCGACTTGAGCGGGGGCGCTGTGCTCAAAGGGGTCAGTGTGATTCTCGAGAGTTGTGTTTTCGCTTTTTTATTTTTTTTTTCCCCTCCCTTTCTTGATATGAGTTATTGTTTTGTTTGGACCAAGTTGTCGAGTCAGGCGTCTACCCCTTTCAAAACAGGGCGTATTATGGATGCTGCGGACAAGAGTCCCCCTCGTTATGAACTCGAGATATATAGAAACTTTTAATCAAAAAACCACAAATTCCATTTTCCGTTACATCATTTTTCCTTGCATTGTTCAATCTAGTCCTCATTTCAAATCGCTATTGCCGTGCTGAAAAGCGATCCTCTTGCTGGTTGCTTGGTTGCTTGTTCTTCCAGGATCTGCCTGACAGGATTGTAGAGCCTATATAACTTGTGTAAAACATCAAAAGGAAAAGCGTCGTTGATAAGGTCTTTCTGTTTGTCCTTGCTTGTCCTGATAAAAACCAATCTTGCCCTCGTTCCCCCTCGTTCCCCTCATCACCCTCATCAGCCTCATCAGCCAGTACACATCCTCTTCTTTTCTCCTCCACTGCCCCTTCGTCCATAGACGCATCCGTTATTATGTACCATCATCTCCCCGTCGCTTCTCCCGCCTTTTACCTCTTCTTGGCCGACGGCCTGGGCTTGCACTCGTCATTGTTCACCGGATGCAGCATCACCTTGATCGGGTAGCTCTGCGTGTTGTGCTGGAAGCCCTTGCTCCAGTCATAGCTAATGGCGTAGGCAAAGATGCTTCCCGTCTTGTTGAACGTCGTCGCCGTGATGCTGCCGCCCACGTTGGGGTATCCCTTGAGCCGGTGCTTGGCGTCCTTGTCCCAGAAGTGGAACGTGCCGTCGGATCCCGCCGTGCTAAAGGTGCCGTGTACGGGGTGGAAGGAGATGTCGTTGACGGCGTGCACGTTGACCACGTTGTTGACGACCGGGTCGCGATGGCACTTGAATGAAAAGTTGGACCTGAAAGCAGAGAGCAAGGTATTAGCGCGAGTGATGACGCAACAAAGACAATTGACAAGGAAGCCAAAAGACAAGAGGGCAACTCACGAGGCGTCCTTTTCCTCCACGTATTGAATGGCACAACGGCCCTCGATACTACCGATAGCAAAGCCCGTCGAGTCGGGGAAGCAGCTGACGACTCTCGTCTGCCACTTAAGCGGGCTCTGCAGCGTCTTGTAGAACTTGGTCGGGTTTTTGAGGTCGACCACGTTGATGTACCGATCCGCGGTGCCAATGACGAGCAGGTTCTGCTGCACGTCCATGGTGTACACGCGCTCCTGGCAGGCCAGCGTCGCCGCCGGCCCCTGCTGCCGCAGGTCCCAGTACTTGACCGTCTTGTCCCACGAGCCCGAGACCACCATGGTGCCGCTGCCGCTGTCAAAGAAGCGGACGCTCCGTACGGGCATGTCGTGCGTGCCAATGACAATGTCCTGCTGGGACGCCAGATCGCACACCTTGACGTTCTTGTCCGCACCGGCCGAGGCTACTTTTGTGCCGTCCTGCAATTTCCCTGGAATCAGCATCAATCTCAACATAACATCAATTGAGGCCTTCATCTTCTTTCCACCGCCCTCTAATCCGTCCACTTCAAGCCACTAAGAACAATACTCCCTCAAGCCTCCGTTGCTCACCTTTGAAAAGTCAACGCCCAGCACGGGCTGACTGTGCTCGTACGCGTGCCGTCCCTGGCTCTGCCCGTTCTGCGCAATCTCGTAGATGCGGACCTTGTTGTCCCAGCTGGAAATCGCCAGGAAATCGGGCGTGTTGGGCGCCGGCGAAAAGGCCAGGTCCGAGATGCTGTCCGTCGGCGGGTCGCTGAGCGCGACGTCCTGCTTCAGATCGCCCACGGTTGTCGACGCAGAGGCGCTCGAGGCCGCCGAGCCAAAGAGGCTAGCCATGGCTACGATGGCGATTCAAGCTTCCGAGGGTCGAGGAGGGAACGTTTGTGAGAATGGATCTTTCTTTCGTGTCGATCGAGTCCTCCCGGCCGTGTATGTCTCAACGAATTTTTTCCCTTCCACGGGATTCGATTCGACGTCCTCGGCGCGTTGACAGCGCGACGTCAGTCTTGCTTCCTTGGCCTTCTCTTGCCTCCTTCGCCTTGATCGAGAAAAAGGGCACAAGGCACGCAAAGATTGTGCTGTTGCGCCCGAGTATCGCGTTTTCCTCTTCCGGGGGAGGGACGTTAATGATTGTTATATGCCGAGATGCAGCTCCAGGCACGAAGGCAGCGATCTTAGCATTCTCAACGCGACGCTCGGATTGGCTCGTGAGCTTTTGCCAGGCTGAACCAGGTTGTGACAGGCCCGCATAGATGCATACCGTTACTCTCTTGATGCATAGACCCATAATTACTTACGTACATACAGCTTGCAGGTCTCCACTAAAAAATCACCAGAAAGAAAAGAAAAGAAAAAAATTCCGAGCTTTCTTGCTTTTTCTTCTTTTCTTCTTCCTCTTCACCCCCCCTTTGCTCAACAAATCGCCATTCGAAGCTCACACACGGAGATGCTCTTTTCGAAGAGCATCTCGCACCTCAAAAAACAAGCTTTGGGAGAAAGTCCCCGGACGTCTCCTCTTCTACGAGGAGCATGCGGAAACGCGCCGCCATAGAAGCACTGCGGCTGACCTCCGCGCCTTGGCCCAGCCGCGGCATCTGCCCTGCCTACTGCTAAATTCGTCCTTCTTTGTCCTCTTTTTTTCCGGCACGAACCTTGTTTTCCCTTTCGTTTCTGTTGCCGGCCGCTTATGGATGAAGATACGAGTCCGAGCTGGGAGCGCAACGACTGGGAATAGGGGTGAGTTTGGAGAGGGGACGAAGGGGTTGGATGGTAGGTGGACGTTTCGATGTTCTTTCGCGGTTGTGGTATCGGGTGCAGAGGATTTGTTGTCGAGGTCGATAGGTATGCGATTGCCCGGCTGTGTCACAGCAGCTTGGTTACTCGATGGGGCCCATTCTTGATGCAAAGGGGGCGTCAAAACGCCGTCTCTGTCGTGACGGACATCCTTTTTTTTTTTTTAACACTCTGAAACTTCGTTGGAAGTTTCTTTTCCCTCTTTGAAGGATGACCTGACGGTGGAGATGGCCAGAAGCTCATATGATGATGACCAATATAGAGTCAAGCACCGAGTCAAGACAACGTCTTGCCGTTGCGGATAAAAATATTTCAATGTCAACTGACGAGCTTCTGACATCTCTACCTTTGTAACAATGGGTACCTACCTGGTACCTAGGCGAAGGAGGGTATATGTATCTCATCTTTGGGGGCTACAGTCCACGCCGAGTGGCTTTGGTCTCGCAGCTTCACCTTTTCCATCACCCATCATAAGGTAGGCAGACTTTTCTCTTCGTAATCATAAGGCACACACGCCCAGTCATAAAGCTGCAGATTGTGCCAGGCCATCTCATTACGAGCGTGGCAGCGTAGCATCCCGGCTCAACGCCGAGACATTCCCAACCCCCAACCAGACAAGGGCCTCCCAAATCCCCTTGCCCTCAACCGGCTCTCGCAAACACAGCTCGAGATACACATCATCATCATCATCATCACGAACAATAAAAGAAGCCTTGGCAGACACAAAACCAATAAACTCGTCAGCCCCGTTGCCCGCCAAGCCCCTATCCACCCTCTCCTCATGGCCACCAACCAAAACATCGTGCAACGGCCGCCTAACTACTAGTGCATATCCTTGGACGATCGAAAACCTCGAAATTGCAACATCTTGGCGCCAGTTCCCCTGGCTGCTTTATAGCAACTGTAATCATAATAGTACTGTGCCAACTTACTATGTATGGTACCTGGTAAAGTGGTGAAGGATGCTATAAACTACCGCGACTCGGACCAAAAGCGTGACGGGAAACGCCAGAAGCTTGCCGCAACCGGCGACGGTTTGGCAGATCGAGGGGGGGCCCAGCTTTTCCCGGGTTTTGCTGACGCCTCCAGGGCCTTGTCGATATTAGCCGGACTTGTTGTTACGAGTAATGCTGAAGAATTGTTAGTATTACATACTGTACGATACGTGCCAACACCAGGTAGTACCAAGAAATAATAGAGCACCCAAGCACTCGTCATACAAGCCGTGTCAAGCCTGTCGATTCCTGGATGTCGCTCAACCACTGCCATGTTACATGACACAGCCAATATGTCGCCAACTGAGCCGAATCACAGCGTCCCGTCGAATAAAACCCAGCAAATCGACTCTCACGCCCACCCTCCAGATGTCAGAAGGGAAATCCTTCCAGCTTTCACAAAATGCGCCACACTCTGCAATCCACACACACACACGGCACGCCGTACCTGAGCGAACGATCCCTCACCTCCATGTCCAAAACAAGGATTCCCCCCTCCCCAGCTTTTTCTTCTTCTGCCGTCTTCTTCGAATCCTTTTTTTTCCCAGCCAGCCCACCCCTAACACTCCAACAGGCCGTCCAACCGTAGTGGGTTTCACATCCCCCATCCCTAGCCCTGGCGACCTTTCTTCTGCTCTCTCTCGCGGTTAAAGTGCAGACGTCCGCGGGAATTATATTGGCTGCCTTTCGACAGTCTAGCTCTCTTTGTCGGACTAAGCTCTGTGATGGGACACCAGTGAGCTAAATTGTCTCCCCAGCTTAGGCTTGGAACGGTGTTAGTGATGGATCCCCCTTGTTTGCGTTGGGGGTGGTGATATTGCGTATCGTGGCTGGCAGGATGGGTAGTAGTAGTAGCCATGTTCGAAGAGAAAGCGAGCGCCCGAGGGCGAGAAAGAGAGCGATGTCGTTTTGTCTCCCGACCATGGGGCCCTTCCTTGAATCGGGTTGCTGTGTCAAGTCGTATACCTAACCTCGTAGTCCCACACGGTCTGAGTTCGCCTCTCTCTTCCCATCTCCCTCTCGATCAACCTCAGATATCCACAATCGACCTGTAGATCGTGCATCCGTCTCTCGTCTTCGAACCGAAACCATAGTCAGGATGAAGGCCCTCCTCCAGCTCTTCATCCTGCTCTTCGCAGCCGTCACAGCGGGCGCAACAACCACCCCCAATGCTACCACTCTCCTCGACAGTCTCCCCCCTTGTTCCATCAATTGCATCGTCGAGGGCGTTACCAAGGACGGCTGCAGCCTCACCGACCTCGCCTGTGGATGCTCCAAGATCAACGAGCTTACCAAGATCGTGTCGCCATGCCTCGCCAAAGCAGGCTGCACGCTCGAACAGATGACTCGTACGGGTTCCTTGAAATTGCCTGCCCCGTTACTTCGTGATCGTAGCATCTTTGAGCAGCTAACGCGTGCCTGGCTGTCACCCACAAACAGAAACAGCATCAAATGTCGCCCAATTCTGCGAATCCGCAGGCCTCCTTGTCAACGGCACATCGAGTGATGCGGATCCGACCACGACCACAGCGGCAGTAGCGGCAGCCACAACCACGTCGGGCGCCGGCAGGATTTCTGACGAGATGGGTCTGGCCTTTGCTGCCGTTGGCGCTCTCTTGGGGACGGTGGTCTTGTAAGCGGACGATCGAATCGAGGGGTACTCTGGACAGGTTAGAAACGAGCAGGAAGAATTGTACATTGGAAGCTGGGAATCATAATGATGCTCTCAGGAGAGTCATATATTGCTCAGCACGGGTACTATACAACGACGGCGATCGCTCTCTGTGGGACAAGCTTAGCGTGTCGACGAACAGCCCGTCAAGGGCATTATCATCCATTTTTTTCATTCCAAATTCTAGCAGTAACCGAACGGCAGTTCTGGTCTAGTGTATCGTGGTGTCATTCAGATCATCAAACATCTTTTCCCTCAAGTTTACCCCCAACGCACAAGGCTGTATCAAGGTCTAAACATCAAAGAAGAAAAGGGGGGAGGCGGGCGGATGTCGTTTGGGTAAAACAGAGAGGCTTGCGTCTGGGCGGGCTTCGTAAATGGGTATGGCTATCAGCCAGGTCCGAATCTGGCCAGGGCGCCGTGGTTGCCGCCGTCAAACGTATCGTGGAGTTCGTCCAGAGCGTGGAACTTTGCTGCCAGCTTCATACCCTCCCGGCGTTGAGCCTCAACGCGGCGCCAGTCCCATTCGCCATCAGCCGCCGCCAGGTCCACGTCGCTCAAATCAACAGACTCGTCGCCCAGGTAATTCTCGCCACTCTGCCATCCACCAGGTCGGGGAGGCAGCAGACCGGCGTCCGCGAGCACGATGGCGGGGTGAACAGTAAAGCGGCCGACCTTGAAAACGTACTTGCTCATGGCTGTGGCATGGATCTTCTTCTCCCATCCGCCGGTGGCGTCCTTGTGGTCTCGGGTCCGGACGCGGCCGAAGCGGGGATCGAGCCATTCGGTAGGCCGTGCAGCGCCTTTGGGCATAAAGTAGGTGACAATGTACACCCACTTGCGATCCCAGGCAGCGATCCGACTCCAGAGCTCGTAGGACTGGTAGGCGGATATCTCCCGCTTAAAGCTGCACATGACGGAGCCCAGTGCAATGGCAAAGTTGCCCTTGACAGGCTCACGGGTGCGCGGGTCACGAACGAGCCTTGTCTTCTGGTTGTTGGACATGTTTCGAATGGCGGGCCGCAGCAGGTAGGCGCAGAGGTGTGTTCGTGAAATGTCGAGGTCGGCAAAGTAGGTCGAGTTGGACTTGTGAAGGTTGTAGTCTATCTCTAGTAGCGGAGCTTTTGTTTCGGTGATCATGGGCTTGAATAAGGCACGAGGGCCGAGTCTTGGTGCATTGCGGAAGACCATGTGGTAGAGCATGGCATAGAATATGCGATACTGCCCATCATGCTCGTTAGTCATGGTGTAGCCTAGGATGAGGGCAAGAGTCACTTACAGTCCATGCCAGAGGCAAAGTCTTCCAGTTGAAGATGATGAAGAAGAGCAGCAGGATCCGTGATGTCCGGCCGGGGCCGGTCAGAAAGGACTGCACCAAGGCAGGCCAATCGATGCGCCATGCAGCGTAACCCATGGATCCAACGGCAACTGAGATGATGGGGATAGTCAGGGCGAACCCGCCAAGTCTGGAAGATGACATGGCTCGGTCGTGGTGTCGCCCACGCATCTCGTTTTCGGTGTGTTTCGTGTCCGTATGCTCTTGAGTTGAGGCTTGCGCAGCAGCTTCGCGACAGCAGTTGGGTTGCCGAAGGGCGGTGCGAGGCACTGGCGGTTCCTCCACTTGGTATCACACCGGCGGCTCGGTTTGCGAAGTCTTGTTGGGCGCGTGATCGGTAGATTCCTGGGGAACGAGAAACAAGTCGTCTGGTTGTGTATATCGACGAAGAACAAGAAAAAGGAAAACGGGCGGAATCTAGTCGCGCGTGGCTGGAATGCGGTAACGATGCGCATGCGCAATCGAACGGGGAGCTGCGATTTGATCTGGATAAGGTACGTAGGCGAAAATCCAGGAACCGAGCCTTTATTGAGTGCAGGGATTTGCGCGGGCTTTTCGCTTTCGGCCGCCTCGGGCCCCGTAATTTTTGCTTTGTCTCGGTCAACAGCGAGAGGCGCCGAGCCGAGGTTCGTGGGTCGGATGAGATTTTGGTGTGACAACACCAGACACGAGAAGGTACTAATGTGCGTGACGACCTGTGGTTGAAGAGACGACAATTGAGGTGGCGAGGGAGAAGAGACGAAGGGGAAGAGGATGAGAGAGAAGGGAAGGGAAAAAAAGAAGAGGAGGAGGAGAAGAGGGATATCATAATAAAAGGAGCAGAATGTTTCAAACAAACTCTATTGGCGAGGCGGACCCGTGGTCGAGCTGGGAAGGAACGTGGAACGTGGATGCCAGTTGCCGAGCATTGTCCCTGCATGCTCCTCCTTCCTCGTGCGCGTGTTACACGTAGCATGTAAGGTAAGGTACATTCCCAGCAACGGAACTGAAACCGCATGAAGAACAGAATGCTAGTAATATCTGATGTAGGTACCTTAAGATGAGATACCTTCTAGGAGATAATAATCCTGTCCCAACTACCGAGAAAAATGCGTCAGCAAAAGAGGGGCCATGAGGTCGGGGATGCGTTTGACTTTGATGTGGTTGGACGGCCGGTCTCGAGACACGCGGATGCCGGGCCTGGTGACGGTAATGCAATGCGTGCCCAACAAGGTGTTTGCATCAGCATCACCGCCAGCATCACCAGCATCAGCATCAGCATCATCACCATCACCATCACCATCACCATTAGCGTCACCACCAGCAATCCATGACTATCTTACCCAAGGTACATACCTAGCATGACAGTCACTTCACCACGTTTTGTCATTGTTTGTTTCTCTCTGTATCCTTTCCCCTTGACCATCCCACACCCCCCCTTTATCTGAGCTGTTCCAACTTCCATGAGTTCCGGCTCTCTCTTAATGCCAGACTTTCCTTGTCTCCTCCCCCTCTGCATAAACAACTGCCAGCGAAGCCCTCCCTCCTAGACTGGTAAGACAAGCTGTCTATAGGTCACCTATATAAGCTGTATATAGATATATATAGGTAATCCCTAGCGCTAGAAAAAAGATTACCTATATATAAACAGCTTAATGTTTCTTTTAGCGCTAAAGATTACCTATATATATACAGCTTAACTATTATTATTTAGGTTATAATTAAGGAATTAATTATAAACACCTAAACTTATATTTATTATTTAATATAATAAAAAAAAAGAATTAATTCTATTTATTTTTAAAATTAATTTAAATATATTTATATATTAACTAAAACCTAAACTTAAGGTAAAAGAGAATTAATAAATAAACAGTTATTAAATAGTAGCTTAAAGGTTATATAAAGAGTGAATATTTATAATTTACCTTATAATATAAACAGCTTAAAGAAATAATAAATAAATACTATTAAATATAAAGTAAGTTTAAAAATATTATAGATTTTTTTTAAAATTAATTAAAGTCTATTTAAGGTCTTTTAATAAATAATTTTATAGTTAAAAGAGAAACTTAAATAAATACAGGCAGAAATATATTATATATTTAGAGGAAAGTAAATTAATACTTATATAAAAAGTAAAAAGTATTATACTCTTTCTCCTTTTACTTAAGGGTAAGGTAATATATAAGTTTTTCCCCTTACTACTAATTTATATTTCTTATTTATATTCTTTTTTATTTATAATAGCCACTAATACTATTAAGTATTAAAAGCTAATAATAACTACTTTTTTTTAAAATAATGCTATAAATATACTAGGATATAAAGGCCTATAAGGCTTATTATAGTAAAAATAGCATTAGTTTATATATTAATAAGAAAATGCTACTGCTAAAGCTAAATTATATAAGCTTTTATAATTAAATTTATAATAAATAATAATTAATATTTTACTAATATTAAATTCTAAAATAATAAAGTTATTATTATACTAAGGGAAGCTTTTTATTAGTATATTAGTATTATAAGCATAATATACTTTAAGGTAAGAGCTATATTATAATATAAAGAGAATATATTCTAATAATATTTTAAAATACTTTATATAAAAAAATAGGCATATTAAGAAAGTATTATAAAGAGTGCTATAACTTAAAGATTATCTTTAAGGAACCTAGTAGCTATAAGGCATGCTATTAAAATAAGCTAATATATAAGTAAACTAAATATAATTTAAGAATATTATTAAACTAATTCCTAGGCTAGTATTATAAAATTAAGAATAACTTAAAGCTAGAATAAATTCTAGTTAATATAAAGGCTTAAAATGCAGCTTAATAATAGGAGGCCCTGCCTATCCTTTTTATTAATTTAGATAATACTAGTTTAAGTGTAAGAGCTGCAGCCTTATAAATAGAATTATTACTGCTTTAAAATTTAAAATAAGATAGGTTAATATTATTTATAAAATAATGCTTAATTTAGTTTAATAAATATCTTTTTTTATAATTTTTTTAAACCTTAAAATAAGTAATAATAATTAGCTATTAAAAAAAGATTAATTTTAATATTTTCTTTAATTAATTTTAAAAAAAAAATAAAAAAATAAAAAAGTTAGTTTATTTAAATAATTTTAAATTAAATTAAATATTATTTAAAATAAAAAAAAACTATAAAATAAATATATAAATAAATATATAAATAAATATATAAATAAATATATAAATAAATATATAAATAAATATATAAATAAATATGGGTACCGAGCTCGGAGACATCCTCACGGACATACCTGTTTGCGGAGTGATGTGTGTATCAGCTCAGAGTTCCACGGGTCGTACGAGCCAGGAAGATTTCGCGTGAAAGCCGGGGGGGCCGAATGCGGGAAAAAACCCACGTTTAATGGAGTTGGGTGAAAGGCCCTTTTTCCTTTCGGGAAGAGTTGGCGGGCAAGGGGGTGTTCACGAACTTGTCTACCGAGCGGGAAAAGGGGCGGTTCCCACAATTGGGGGGTTTAAACCCTCTGGGCCAAATTAAAAAAAATAGAATCCAAAACGCTCTTTGGGGGGGCGGGAGGGGGTTTTGGGTCTTCCCCCAAAGGGGGGGGAAAGGGGGTTTTCCCCAAAACCCCGGGGGGGGTTTCCACAGAGAAAAAAACCGTGTTTGAAAAAAAAGAAAAAAAAAAAGGGGGGGGGGGGGGGAAAAAAATTCCCCCGGGGTGGGGGGGGTTTTTTTATAAAAACCCGCCGCCCCCCCCCGG